GGGAGCTGTAGCCACAGTCACACTTCCAACATCAAGTGTCAATAATGCCAAACCCTTCTGTGCTTGGGAGGTAGTTTCTCAGATCAAGAAAGCAGTCATGAATGAAGAGAAATGTGACTTTGAAAATGATTCTGCTTTATTTTTTTTATTTTATATGGCAAAATAGATATTATTTGTATTTATCTTATGATACAAATATTTGGACATTATGGATATACTTATAGTTTTCATATTTAGGAAGCATCTGAAGAATGCTAATAAAATATTTCATATCAGTTTGAAAAGTGTATGTGAATTTGAGTGTCACCTACTCATCTGGTCCACCATTTCTTCTTATGCTTGGAAAGTTGAGGTTGTCCTTTAATCCCATTCCAATGTGTCTCATAAACCAGGAGATCCCCTGTCCCTGATGCACATGGTGAGTGAGTTCACAAGAAGTGATGTCCCTACAGAGGTTCCAGAATGATGAGGGTAACTGACCTCAGTCCCTCCCCACTTTACAGGAAAGGCTGCCCCACATATGAATTTCTCTCTCAGATCCAGGGTAAATTGTCCCCTGGTGTGTGGGTGCTCATAGCTCTCCCCTCACATGGGGCTGAGGTCTCTGGGAAGACAGAGTTGTGCTGTAGAAGAAGATGAGACTGCTGAGTCTCTTCCTGTGCCTGGTGACAGCCCCCTTGGGTGAGTGTCTCAGATGTCAGGCATAGGTGGTGACTGTACCTGACTGACAAGGACTGATGTACCTTGTCCCCAGGTGTCTTGTCCCATGTGTAGCTGCAGGAGTCAGGACCAGGACTGATGAAAACCTCACAGACCTTCTCCCTCTCCTGTGCTGTCTCCGAATTCTCTTTTATAAGCTATCACCTGCAATGCACCCACCAGGCTCCAGAGAAGGGAATGGAGTGGGTCTGTGTTATATGGAGTGATAGAAGTACAGAGTACAACCCAACACTGAAATCCTGGCTCAGTGTCACCAGGGGCACCTCCAAGAAGCAAGTTTATTTAACACTGAGCAGTCTCACAGCCGAGGACACAGCTGTGTATTCCTGTGTGAGAAACACAGTGAGGAAAAGTCAGTGTGAGCCCAGGCACAAATCTCCCTGTGGGAGACGGGAAAGCTTGGTTGCAGGGACTGGTCAGGATGACAGGGGGCACTCTTCTCTCACTAACCACAGAGAATAGCCCCAGGGGCAGGTGTGGGCCTGGTTGGGAAGGAAGGAACTTCCTCTTGGGAGCAGGGATTTCCTCTCGAAACACTCAGCTGCATCCAGGCACACAGCCTTCTTCTCTGTGAATCTGATTTCTGAAGTTTTCACTGCAGACAATAAACAAGGGGAAATATCAGTAGGGGTCCATGGACCTCTTCTTCACCAAGTTTCCTATTTTTTTCCTTTCTTAACAAATTGCATCACATTTTCTTATGAAATTATACTTAAAATATCACAGAGGAGTGTTTGATCCACAACAAATTCTATGTTCATAGTAAAACATAAGCACACATTTATGGCCCCTTTATCTGTGCTAGTAGAAGCTAAAACATCCCAAAAGTCCTTCTAATTTTACAATTAGCAAACTAGGGAACATCCATGAATGGACTTCTACTCAGCAGTGAAAATAATGATCAGCTGATATGGGCAGAATAAAGGTAGATCTCAGTGATCACTCAACCCGGAATGCTCCAGGCTCAGAGAACAAAGGGGTGTGTCCTGGTGCTCACAGGGCCATCCTAGGAGGACAGTGGGAGGCTGGGATTTCTGTCCCTTTCTCACTGTTACCAGGTGGGAAGCTGCACTCTGTGTACTGAGGGTTCCCTCATTCTCAGCAGGGTCCAGAGGGATGGACGGCTCCACACAGGGAAACAAACACCTCCAGGCTCCTGTGAATGCACAGCACCCACCACCAGGTCTGCTGTTGTCCTGACAGCAGCTGTCTCCTCCAGGTGCCTCTGTCTTTGGTTCCCCCACAAGCACAAGATCCCAGGGCAGCAGACACTCCACTGACCACCCATTCTCCCCAATGGACTTTTACCTCACCCAGTGACCATGGGAATATCCATGGGAATAGATCTAGAACTCTACCTGATGGCTGATCTCTAGCCTTTTTCCAGACAAAACTTAGAGGTGGGTTATTCACCTGCTGGTGGGGACAAAGATGGCTGTGCTCCACACTCAGCCAATACCTGAGTGCTCAGATCTCAATACCTAGCAGCTCCTGTCTGCATGACCCACCTGTTCTGGTGGGTGAACCCTGCCAGCAAGCCAGGATGAGGAAGTCAGTGAACCAGGGTCCCAAGGGTGCTGTGCCCAGGACAAGGCCTCCATCCCAGTACTGAGGTCAACAGGACAGAGTGAGTCCTGTCACTTGGTGGCAGCTGACTGAAGCTCAAACTCATCAGCCAGCAGCTTGATCTTGAATGAAGGACACTGACACCTTCTCTCCTGAAAAGGGAACCTGTGACCAGGGGCTGGCAGTGTGGAATCTGTGCCCTTGAATGCACTTGTCTTGAATGCATTTGCTGCACTGGGATGTGGAAGGGAGAGTGTGTGCCTTCACCTGTTGCCCAGCTGTTCCCACTGTCAGCATAATCTCTGGAGTAAATTCTTCTTCACCATCCGTGTTCCAGTAGGACCATCTCCAGTCATGGTAGCAATTTTAAAAACAACTTCTGCATTTCCACTAGGACTGAAATCCTTGTAGCTCCTTGTGAGTGTGAGTGGGGGGCTGGGACAGCAGCATTCCTGGACCTTGGACTGAGCCTTATTTTTAGGCAGGGTTGTGCCCAGTCCTGGCTGTGTACTTGCAGCTTTTCCTGTACCTCAGCATCACTGAGATTTTTGTGTAAATGGTGTAATTTACCATATGTTGCTGGGTATACTGTGCACCTATGTTTTTTTGCCAAAATTTTCAGGAATAAAACTTTCATTTTAATATTTTACTTCAATTTTTATTTAGGTATATTTAGAAACACAACTGATTATCATATGTCTGAGTATTATTTTGCATATAGATATTTGTAATTGATTTCTAGAATTATACTTTTAATGGATAAGCACAAATAAAAGAATTTAAAAAATTGTATAGATAATGGAGTTCTACCATTCATGTATAATGCACAGCCCTCTTTTTTCCTCAAAAATTTGGGCAAAAATGTGTGCATTATCCAAAACAAATTATGGTACATTAACTGATTTTATACTAAATCCATGTTAGAGGCTCAACAAAATAGGGCTGGAGGAGGTAGGTCTTATTGGAAAGAATCTAAAGTCAGGGGACACTTTATGTGACAGGCAGATGCTCCATCTAAAGGGATGATTCAGAACATTGTCAATGTGCAGACAGACACCTCCCTGTACTACTCAGTGAGAGACTCAGAGAAATAAAGTCAGGGTGAGCTCAGATACACACCTCCCTGTGCAAAGACAAAAAGGCTGAACTGCAGAGGGGCTCTCAAGAGTTGGGACAAAAGTCAAAAACAAACCAGTCCTTGCACCACAGTGACTCTGACCAACCAGGCTCAGTTTTCTGGGTCCCCTTTTCCTTACTCATCTCCTGTATCTGCTCATGAGGAGATGCCTATCCATTGTCATCCCATTGTCCTGCCTTCATGTCTCCCGGCTGCACCCTTTCAGAATGGGGACCTGTGAGCTATAGGTCAGTGATAACCCCCACATGTTGGGTCAGTGTTGGCTACACTGACTGGACAAGGTCCCCTGGATCTGACCCTCCCTAGGGCAAGCCAGGACCCTTCTCACCACAGACTCTGCAAGTCCCAGGTGCAGGGAGAACAGGAAGTCACAAGGGCAGGCAATCTCAACTCGTCACATCAATTGTGTTTTCTCTTGGTCTGTTGTCAAAGCAGGTCACTCACAAGATTCAGCTCAGGGTGGGGTCATGTGCATGTGCCAGGAAGTGTGGAGAAGGAATATCCTGGTGTTCAGTACCATGAACATTATCACAGTGTGTGTGTGTGTGTGTGTGTGTGTGTGTGTGTGTGTGTGTGTGTGATTTATTGAGCAGGAGATGGGCAGTGTGATTAGGGCCACATGCCGGGATCCTCATATGGGACCTGCAAAGACAGGAACCTGAGGACATCACAGACCCCAAGTTCCAGTGATGTTCAGGGCTCAGGGGAGTTGGCTGAGTCAGTGCATCATGTAGCTCCAAGGAAGAAGATCCCTGGTGGCTTCAAAGAGCCCTTTGCTATGGGTTTCTCTGCAGAGTCACTGGGGTTTAGTGCAGCCAATTCAGTGGCCAGAGATGTCAAAGCACATTGTGTCCCTGAGGGAGCAGCCTAAAGTCAGATTCAGCCTTTAATTCTGGACTAGAGATGATGAGAACTCGATGTCCTGTGAGCTCAGACAGGACCCTCCCTTTGAGAGTGCAGTCTGGGCAGCAGGGGCCAGAGGAGACCCACGAGCTCAGGGCTGCTGTCCAGGAGCAGGTGCAGAGAGAGCTGGGGCAAGACTTCCAGTGAGGGTCTGGGTCTTCCTCTTTTCAGTAAATCGTCTAAAATATTTCACACATGAGGTGACTGTTAACATCCAATTCCACCTGAGAATTTACCCAACCAAATAAAACATGAGGACCATACTCAATAAGGGTATTTCTATAGTTTCCTTATATCTGAATTGGAAGGAGCTGGGGAGGTGGTTGGTTTCATTCACTCACTGGGTGCAGCATTTGGGAGACACACTGTTCAAGGAAGGACATTCAGGCATTGAGTCCAGGACTGGTCCAGGTGGTCTCTGTGTCACTGGAAGGTGGGTTCTTAATGAGGATCATGTGCTGTGGGGGCTTGTTCCTCAGTGGGAGAAGTTATGTCTCCCCAGAGCTCAGTGACCTGACAGGGACACACATTTTACAACAGTGACTGGGACTTGGACCCTGAGTCTTCCACTGAGCATGGACCCTGTGTCCTCTAGTTCTCTCAGGTGGGGTCAAGTCTTCAGCTATGAAACACTGTGCCTCATGAATATGCAAATGAGAAGAGGTAGACTAGGTTAAATGTGGGTCTGTCTGTGCCCTGAGAGCATCACCCACACCCACACTCTCCCCTTAAGAAGTCCTGACTGCACAGCCCCTCACCATGGACTGGAGCTGGAGAGCCCTCTTCCTGGTGGCAGTGGCTACAGGTAAGTGGCTCTTTTGCTCCTGGGTTGAGGAGGGGACCAGGGATAGTCAAGAGACATTTTCAACCCTTCCTGCCTCCTCTCCACAGGTGTCCACTCCCAGGTGCAGCTGGTGCAGTCTGGGGCTGAGGTGAGGAAGCCTGGGGCCTCAGTGAAGGTCTCCTGCAAGGCTTCTGGGTACACCTTCACAGGCTACGATATGCACTGGGTGCGGCAGGCCCCAGGTCAAGGCCTTGAGTGGATGGGAGTAGTTAACCCTAACAGTGGTGGCACAAACTATGCGCAGAAGTTCCAGGGCAGACTCACCATAACTGCAGACAAGTCCACGAGCACAGCCTACATGGAGCTGAGAAGCCTGAGAGCCGAGGACACGGCCATGTATTACTGTGCGAGAGACACAGTGAGGGGGAGTCAGCGTGAGCCCAGACACAAACCTCCTTAGGGGAGCCAGGAGGGCTGGGCTGCAGGGGGCGCTCAGATCATACCAACCACAGAGAACAAATGCAGGGGCAGCTGTGGGTCTGGGCAGGAAGGAAGGGGCTTTGGCTTGGGAGCAGGGGTTTCCTCTCAAAACTCTCAGCTGCATCCAGGGACACTTCTTCCTTCTGTGTGGCTCTCATTTCCCACACTCTCACTGCAGACAGCAAAGGAAGAAGTGAAGCTGTCTGTTTGCAGATGAGATTCCAGCTGTACCTGGGACCTTTCCTTCACCACACTCCTGTGTGTCCTTTCTCTTCCTTGTCAGTGAACCACCCTGAGTGCTCTCATCTTCCCCGTGGTTGGAACCATTTCCCACAAAGTGGAGTCCAGCCCTGTCCAGGCCCCTGTGTGCTGAGCTCAGGCTCTCAGTTCCCCGGCATGCACACAATGTCCTCACACATTCCCTTCCTTCTGGCAGGCTCCCCTCATCCTTCAGGTGTCCTGACCATCCCCCAGCACCTCCACCCTCAGGTCCCTGTCCTCCCTGCCACCTGTTACCCTCTTGCCCCTCATTTACTGGATGGATGTGCAAATGCACCCCAACTCTGTTTCAACAATCACAGTATTGTTACCCTGATGTTCTTTTGTTTCCTTTTGAAAAGGACACATGATTCTATTTTATGTCCCAATTGGAGAATTCATGGTAATCCCCAGGTCAACACCTCTAACTCAGTCACCCCTAACTTAATCACTCTGCAGAATCCTGTCATAAAAGGGAACACTCACCAGTCCCAGCAGCCGGAATCTGGATGTTTTCTAGGGTCCAGGTTCAGCCATTTTGGTTCCCTGAGGATCATGGTCTCACCTACACCTCAGGGACCTGGGGACAGGCATCCTTCCTGAGGTTCTTGAAGTTGTGTTGAAAACTGTGATTGCGTGCATGTGTGTGCACACACATGTTAAAATGTTGATGTGTGTTTTTTGTGACTGTGTGTGGTGTGTGTGTCCATGTATGATGTAACCTACGTTCTGAGTCTCCCATAGTTCACAGAACAAGGACCTTCCCACATGTCAGTGAGAACCAGGCACCAGGGAGAGCACAACCCACTAGAAAGATTATGTTTCCCTTTCTGTCACCTGGGTGTGAGAGCAAGGAAAGTAGTGTGTCATGGACACAACATGCTTACAGATCTTCTCCTTCACAGGAACTGACTTTTGAGAGTTTTAGGTAATGTGTGTAAAAAGCCTGAAAGGTCGGGTGTCCCTTACTCAAAGTGCCCCATTTTCCCAGGTGTCCTGTCAGGAGTCAGCTGCACAAGTCAGCATCAGGACTGGTGAAGTCCAGAGCACAGCTGCCAGAATGGGGTGCATGGGTCCAGGGGTAGTGCACACCCCAACATTCCCTACAGAGCAGAATCTTGACCCAGGGGCATGTCCTGGATCAGCTCTCCCTGCAGCTGATTTCCAATATCACCAAGGACATGGTCGTAAGTTAGTGTACCATGCACATGGATCGAGACAGTGCCAGCCCAGGCACCAAAGTCTTTCTTTAGGGGGCAGGGGTGGGTTTGGGTTCCAGGGGTTGCTCAGGACAGTGGGTGCCTGGGTCCCATCTGGTGAGCAGGTGCAGAGAGATGCTAGGAAAAGGATTCTTCAAATAGCCTGCAATTCCCCTCCATGTTCAAAAACTATCTTTGCATAGACCTTCCCTCTCATCCTATTTATGTGCGCCTCTGTTTCTAGGTGTGTGAGTGTGTTAGTTAACATGTGCATCTGTGTGTGGGTCAGGATTACTGTTTGATTTACCTTCCAGCACAATTTTATGTGTCCTTGAGTCTGTGGGGAGGTACCTTCTTGTATGCATAGTTTCATGTGTGTTTCTAAATGTTTTTTATACTCTGAGTACTGGCATGGCTTTTATGGAAAAGTGAAGGCATAATGTTTCTTGATAGCATTTCCTAATTTTCAACTACCTGCTCAGCTGATGCAAAATATGTTTGATGACACACCTTAGTATACATGCTGTTCCTTGGTGTCTTTTTTTAAATTTTCATCCCTGCGTCTGAGCTCTGCAGGCATCCTGCTGGTGATTTGTCTGTGTGTGCAGCTCTGCACCCATCTCTCAGGTGGACACAGCTGCACATGGTGTCTGACTCCCCGTGTGCCCCTCCCTGTCCTGCCTCCAGATCCCATGGACCCTCCATCTGCTGACAGGCCTCATCAGGCTCAGACATGGTAGGCCTGGCCCATCATCGTGGAATCCATATGGATCCCTGAAAGGGCTGCCAGCTCAGTGCTCCAAACACAGAGTTTCCCACATCCATCCTTAGGAGGAGCCCCTCTCCCCTGCAGGAAGCAGTGCTAACACCACAGTGGGGTGTGGGGCTCTGAGGACTGGGATGTGCATCAAGATCCTTCAGGATTTACTCGTGGATGAAAGGGTTTCAACTTCACTGCGGGTGGTTTTTGCATTGGGATTGTGTTGGATCCTAAGAACAGTGGAGGGGACCTGACCTCCCTGGCCCTGATATTTGACAGGTCTCATCCATGATCACATTAGTCAGATAGGGCACATGATTAATCAAAAGCATTAATAGAAAAACAGATGACTTTGTTCCAACTGTAAATAAATGTCATACTGAACACTTCAGTATCAAACAAAAGGTGCACAGAGTAAACATATCTGCTGGCAGAGTGACCAGCATCCTTTCTGTTCTCTTCCTACTTCACCTGTACATGCAGAGACATTCACTGTCACACACAGTGACACACACAATCACAACACAGTCAGACACACAGTCACATAAAATAGCACAAAGTCATGCACTCGTTATTGAAAATGACATGCATTCACACACAAGATGTGACACAAACTGTTCATGTGTTTGCACACCCTTTCCTGTAAAATGTGTCAGGTTTTTTTTTCCCACTCACTAATGCCCATTTCACATAATGCCTAGGGCTGACGGTTCTCCTGCTACAATTGCTACAATGTAACTTAATACACGACCTTAGTTTTTAGTTTATGTTTACCTCCTATAGTAGAAATTACTATAAATGAAATTACGTGTTTGGAAGTGGTATGGTTCTGAAAATACAGAAGTAGATCTATAACTGAAAAGTATAATTATGAACAACTTTGTACTTTTGTGCTCATGATTTTAGGAACCAACTCAGAAAGGTTATCCCAACTCACCTTTAATCTCAGGAAACAGCACAGCAAACACACCTCAGACTCCCATGTCATTATACAAAAGTATAGTTTCTTTGTTTTGATAACCACAGTTCAGCATGTTGAACTTGCATTTTCACCTATTTATAAAGTTAGGAATGTGCAGAGTTAAACAATGGTCACACTGATGGGGACAAAGGTTGTGAAGAAATGTCCAGGGGAGCTTACTCTGGGCTAAAATGTGGGAGAACCCTGTGCTCTCCCCGGTGGCCCCAAGTGTCCCTTCTCTCTGCTCCAGTCTCTGCTTCTCTTAGCAAAGGAGAGAAGGTAAATGAGAACAGAAACAGAAACCTCACCACAGTGCAGTGTAAGTGCAGCGTGCTGGTGTCGTCTGAGATGGTACTGACCTGTTACAGAGAGTGGCCAGGTCTCAAAAACTAGATATAGTGGGAACAACATAACAATTTTGAAGTCCAATTTGCTACATTTTAAAATTCCTGATTGTGGTAGAAAATAGAAAAGGTACCATTTTCTTATGTGAAGTATACACTTCAGTTATGTTAAGAGTGTTCTCTTTGACATAGAACAGGGTGAAGAACACTTTCATCTTGTAAATGTGACACTTTACGTACATAAATCCACTTACCCACTCTCACCTCTGGCACTTGCCACCGTACTTTCCGTTTCAATACACCTGCCTACTCTGGATAGACAACTTGTGTAAGTGGAATCATACAGACCAGTCTTCTTGTGGCTGTCTCATTTCTCTCATCAGAAAGTCCTCAAGGTCCATCCACAGTGAAGCATCTGACAGGGTTTCCCATTATCAATGTTGCATAATATTCCAGTGTGTGTATGAACCACATTCTGATCATCCTTTTGTCCTTTAAGGAACATTTAGGTTGCTTCTACCTATTGTCTGTTCTGAATCTGCTGCTATGATCAAGGTTGTCTAACCATCTCTGTGACATTACTCTAGATGTGCACCCTGGAATCCAATTGCTGCACCATATGACACCTCTATTTTCAGTCTTTGAAAAGTCTCCATACTGCTTTTCCTAGTGGGCGCAGAAGAGCTCCTATTTTCCATATCTGTGCCAACACATGTTATGTTGTTTGGTTTCTCTTCATTATAAGCTTCCTAATGGATGTGAAGTGACATTGATTTGTGGTTTTGAATTGCATTTTTCTAAGTATCACTAATGTTGACTATCTTTTCAGATGTGCATTGCACATTAGTGTGTCAGCTTTGAAATATGTCTATTTCATTTCACCCCCCATTTATTTCAGTTGTATGGAAATATGCTCATTCCTCATTGCATATGTGTAAGGTATATGACATAATGAGTGAACTTACATAACCTGTGAAATGATTAACAGAAATAGAGTTAACCTTTATCATTTCACATAGACACAGGGAAATACAAAGGAAGGGAAGAGAACAAAATATAAGAAAAAGAAGGAAAAGAGTGGTTTCTTTGTGCTGAAAACTTTTAGGATCTATTCTATTTAGCAAAATGTGCACCTATTGTACAGCAGTGTAAAATGTAGTCATCACGCTGTCCATTCCATTCCCAGGACTCACAACCGGAAGTTTGTACCTTCAGATCATCAACACCTGATTCTCCCACAGCCCAAACCCCACCTCTGGTAACACAAATATGACCCTTCATAATGATTTCTTTTAGACTCCACATGCAAAAGTGTTCACATAGTATTTTTTTCCTGTGGCACACTTACTCTGTGTACCATTATTCCCTCAATGTCTATGTATGTTGTCACTAATGGAAGGAAATTCTTCTGATTATAGCAAATGATGGCCCATTATACATATTTTCTGTATCCGTGTT